GCATTCCATGTCTTTTTAAAACGAATTGTGTGCTGAAGAAAAGAAAAACGATTGATTATTTAGATACTTTCCATTCTGCTACTTTACCATAAAATGTATCATAACTAACCTGCCCCAAAATGCTAAAAGACCTCATTATCACAACATTCTCCTCTTTGCCAGATCCTACCTGTTTTTGCCCACAGTTACCTATCTTTCCCCAGCACTCTATATCAACAATGAAATGGACATACTTAATATTATCTCCAAAATATGGAAAGGTTTCATTGGCAGAGAGCAAATTAAATTGTTGTGGAAAGGTTGAATGCCTAGCGTAGGGAGGAAGGAAACTTTGTTAACTTGATATAGAGAGGTGATTTAGGTGTTAATCGGGTACAAACTCACAGGTAACACAGATGTGCAGTTATGGTATAAGCAGGTGAAATTAGGCCAAATAGAATCCTTTTTTTTACCGATGTGCTTATAGCCTTACTAATGCTTCTCTTATATTACAAGCACAGATCTAGTATGGAGTCTGTAGTGCAGTGGAACGAGCCGACAGACTGGTACTCTATTGCCAACTCCACATTGCTTTCTCCCTGAGGCAAGCAAAAGTCAGTTGGAGCTATGCACATGTACACCAATGCGCATGTGTCCACATCCTCTAAACCAGCACACGAATGTTGGTCAATTATTAACGAGTTAGTAGTCCTGTAGGCACTTTACTATTGTTGAAATCTTAAAAATGTTTCACTTAAAATGTATGTTTAAAAAGCTTGCTTTGCACAACCTGTAGCCTGTGCCAGGCTCAAATGGTGTGAGACAATGTTTTCAAGGTGGTCTCACAAAACTTACCCCCAAATGATACTGTACTCAATGCGCTGCACAGCTGGTACTGGTTTGACAAAAAATAATCGCATCAAACCAGTACAAGCTCCAGAGCATATCTACCATAAAAATTCAAACCTTTCAGATCTCAAGTCACATACCTCATTCTCATTTCATCCTCTTTGAAATGTATTAAATTAGTCTCTGAGGAAATCCATTATAATTACAGGGTATTAGCAGCGAATGGAATTAGGCTTTTACACTAACATGATTGACGTTAAACTACCTCAAAGTTGGCAAAAGTAGAAGGAATCTGATGGCCTGCACTAAAACTGAAACTGGAGCAAAACAACAACAACTTGGATTTATATAGCGCCCTCCACGCCAGACGGCGTCTCAGAGCGTTTGCAGTAACGGATCCCGGGACCGAGCCAGGGGAAGGGGGGACAAGGTGATGGCGCGGTTGAAAAGAAAGGTCTTCAGCAGAGACCTGAAAATGGGAAGGGAGGGAACGAGACGAAGGTAGTGAAGAAGGCAGTTCCAGAGTCTCGGGGCATAGTGGCTGAAGGCAGTGGAGGACTCAGGGGACGAGGAGGAGGCCATCTATAATGCATAAATAGTGATTATAGGATATGTGAACTTGTAGCTGAAGAGTGAGAGTTAACCCAAATGGAAGATATCTCATCACTGATGTGAGCTCTAGCAGTTGGTGCACAAGTGTGACAGACCCATAATTCACAAGCTCTGTCGAGTCAATAGATTTATGAAGATATTTTGCGTGAGTGGTGAGTGGTGGCAGGAACTCTTAGTAACTGGTTAAATACTGTTTACTCCTTTGGCACTGGGCCTGTTTGTATAACACGTTTAAATTAATTCAGCAATATCATCAATGTTGTAAATGAGATAGTGCTGCTTCGTGTGGAGGCTGAGATCTACCTAAAGACATGGTTTCATCAATGACTCTGCAAGGACTTTGGCCACCCACACACACACACACACACGCCAAGTTTTTTTTTAAACTTGCTGGCATTTGTGAATCTTGTCCGTTCACTGGGTAAGGTACAGTGACAGAAATAAAGTCAAAGGGAATAACTTTAGAACAAAAGTAGCAATTCTGTTCTGGTTGCTGTGGAATCTGTATGGCAATATAAATAAGGCAGATCCATCCCAGCATAGTGTTACTTCACACGTGTGATACGTTAATTCTGTGGGAAATGAAATTACTAAACATGCCACAGAATAAACACTTTTAATTACTATGTTTACGTGCTAACTAAGAATGAAAGTCTAACTCTGACTGTTCTTTTTCCTTTCTCGTTTTATTGCAATAAAACATTCCATTCACATAAGGGTGTGAGTGTTACATTGTTAGGAGGTGTAAATGGAGGTGGAGGCCAATTTAAATTGATGCTGATCTTATAACTTTGAAGTGTTTCAGTAATGAGAGATACTGGTGAGAAACTATTAACTTCCCATCATCTTTTTGAAGCCCTGCTGCTGAGTGAACTACACACATCCAAACCTCATCCCTCTACTATTTAGAGGTATGAATTGTTTAGTCTACAAACTCATATGTCCATTGCATATTGGCAGATAGGCATTATTAGCAAAGCTGTGTTATGAAGATTATTAAGGGTCAGTTGTACTGTTTATCATTTGAAAAATGTGCATAAAGATATGAATCTGCATCATAGGCATGTGCATTTTACTTTTCGTTCAAAGTTGTCCACAATTCCAAGGTTGCATTTGATTATGCCATTCTATATCTATTACAAAAACATACAATTTATTTTGAACCAGATATTTATCCAGGTCTTTATTTTGGAAAAGTTATTGAACACGTATATCAACTGGTTTTCCTGGGAGTCTATTCTGTATCAAATTTTGGGAATTGTCAATCAATAATCAATTCCAAATTCTTTTCCATTTTTACCTTTGCCAATGGTCACCCCGTTAAGGAGCACGGATTCTATGTTTCAGGTTCCAATAGGCATAGGCTCAAATTATTTAAATAAATTAATAAAAAAATTCAATGTAATTCAAACTAAAAGTATACTCATTTTTTTCTTTGAAATTCAATCCTGTGAACTTCCATCATTTTGGTCTCATATTTTAAATTTAATTATATTAAAATTGATTTGCCAGTCTTTAGGTCCATATCTTTTGAACGCTGTGTACGTCCTTTATATTTGCCACTTTATCTCTCAATTTAGTATAATCAACAAATTTTACAATATCATAAGATATACACTCTCCTTATAGGCATTTATGGCTGCTTGGTATTACCAACAGTTTTCAATCTTTGGCTTTAAAGAGATGGTATATATTATGATTTTGTAAAATTTGTTGAAAGTCTCACATGCGGAACTTTATTAAATGCCTTCTAAAAGTGGGTAGTCTGCATCCACGCCCTCCAGTTTACTTACCTCCTCAAAGAATTCCAGCAGATTAGTGAGACATGACCTATTGCTTCTAAATCTATGCTGAGTAATGCTTAAGGCCTCTGTGTTCTTTAGATGAATATTGATAGCTTCAAACATAATGCTCTTAAACATTTTCCATCACAAATCTAGATGGTTTATAATTCCTAAATTCAGGTTTCACACCGGTTTTGAATAAATGGATCACATTTGCTATTTTCCAGAGCTCAGGTATAGTTCCCATATTTATGGAGCTCTGACAAATATTAACCAGAGCTTGTCTACTTCTTTCTGGCATAAGAGCATGTGATCTGTAATATCAGCAGGAATCTTCACAATGCCATTCACACTGTGGATTCTGTAGCTTGTCGCCTTTGGGGAGGGGGGGAATGAAAATGATAAATAATAAAGCCCTGTCTGTATCTACATGTTGAACTACTGAAACACTCTATCCTTTTTTATTTTTTTCCCTACATTTCTTATTCAAACATTTTTGTGCGTTTTCCAATGATTCTTAATCCAAAACACTGGTGTATTAAGTAAATCCTTTATTCTTAGCAACCAACAATCCAACACTTCAACCATAAACTGATACCAGGTGTTCTCCCAGAATTTTTAAATATATTTTCTGGTCTTCTTTCATTGTTAATTTTCTATTTACACTTAAAGAGTTATGCAACAGGTTTGTCCCTAGGCAACATTAGCCATAGGATAATAAAAGTATGCATGATGATGGATTGCAGATTCACCACTAATGAAGCCTCTTCCCCCAGAGAGATTGGCTGGGGCAGTGGTGCTATTCAACTTTGGGAATCAGATTAGAATCGTGCAGAGACTGAAGGATCAAAACATTCTCATTTTTGAGATCTATGCAAGGTTTGTTTTAATCCTAGCAGGCACAGGGTAGCTCATGTATTTTGGTATTAATTGACAGTTTGAAAAGGATATCTTTCAAGAGAAACAGAAATGGTCTTCTAAAATTTGGATAAAGGCACATTGCTGGGGCAAAGTAGAGTATTTCTGTCTCATATTAGACCTGGCCTGGGAATATGTTATACTGGTATCAATCACCTTGATAACCTCAAACACAATGTCTACACAGTGTACTTTCCATATTTCTGCAAAATATATAACCATAATCTTTGTAAATGTCATTTCCATGAGGATCATGAGACAATTATGTATACTCAACAGTCCTTGTATTCACAACAATAATAGAACTCAACAGCAAAGCTTTGTTTATAGAGAGAAAAAACATCCCTATGAGAGACAGTTGGGCTCCTATAGGCTCAGGCGTTTCTTTCCCCAGTTGTCTGGTGTAAGGCACATCTGTAATAATGATTGGATTCTAATGTTTGTGACATGTTTTTATTTTTCTTGTGTTCAAGGATATTAAGATCAAAAGTTTTGTGGATTAACAAATGTTATGGACAAATATTTTTCTAAATTGGGAGAAGTAAATCACAATTATTTTCCTCATCAATCAAATCACATCAACATGGATTATGATTCCTAACCTGCTAATTATCTGACCGTTTTCATTATTGTCCCATGAAAATTCATTAATTTGGAGCACAGAAGGAGGATATGGTCCATCAAGTCAGAGGAGGAGAAAGCAATCACATTCTAATAATTTGGTCACTCAATCAACGACTGTTTGTGAGATACTTCCAAAATGAAATGGATACATTTCCAGAAACTATGAAACCAGAATATGGACCTGGTTGCATTAGTGCCCAATATTCTTTTAAAAAATGAAGAGATGCAGTTTACCTGTAATAAACCTGGAGCATTTGAATTTCTTCTTCTTGCTTCTTACACCGCTGCAATGCAGCATCTCTTTCTCTCTGTGTTGCTAGAAGTTGGGTCTGCAAATTAAAAACATGTTTGTCTAATTTCACTACAATATGTATTTATATTGCATATTTATTGTTTTCTTAAATCCAAAGAACTGCACATTGAAAAGCACTGTAAACAGTCGGCCCAATGCATTAATTTACACTGAAGAAAGCATTCATTGTTCGCTAGCTCAAACATCGGTCTTACTTACTCATTACTTACTTGAGTAAGTAATGAGTGCTGTAGCTTAGTGGTTAGAGCGCTCGTCTCACAAGCGAGAGGACATGGGTTTGATTCCCGGGCAGGGCAAAACGTTAGGCAGGTTTCCTTACTCTACACGCCTCTATTTACCTAGCACTAAGTAGGAATCCAGTTATTAGTCGATTGGCGGATCGGTTTTCCGGGAGTAATAAACCCATTAAAAAAAGATAATTTGGTCACTCAATCCATGACTGTTTGTGGGACACTGCTGTGCATTTTGCCCACAAAATATACAGTTAATTCACTTTACAGTATAATAATATAGTATATTCTATGAAGCGCTTTGAGACTCCTTGAATACGTGATAAGGCGCTGTATCAAATGGAAGTCTTATTATTATTACTTAATAGCCAACAGTATAGCAAAGATAGAATACAATGCAAAATATGATGACGTGACTATCTATTTGAAACAAAAGAAAATCATAACAGCTTCCAGCATATAACTGCTTTAGGAATCAGAAATGCACAGACACAAAATAACATTTATTTTAGCAAAATCTGAATTTTTTATTCAGAGTCAGAATATTTTTATAGCAGAAGTGATTTCCTTATAAAGGTACATTACAGAATCGTAATAATTTCAATGATTTCCTCTTTGGTGGTCGGGTGTTCAACACCAGCACCTGAAACAGGAATAATTCTGAAATCCTGTAAATATACAGATGTATTAGAGAAACTAAGTTATTTCTCTCTGCCAGTAACATAATTCAAATTACTGTACCACTCCTTTCAAATCATGTGATTTGCTTAAAGGAGCTTACTTTCCTCCACTGTGTGCCATGACCTCCACTGGTGAAAAATAATTACTGTCAGAAACATTATATTTATACATTATACAGATGAACAACTGCAACATTTTCCAAGGCTGCAAAACATCTAAAAGATGAGACAATGTCAATAAAATGATATCTTGCTGTTTACATATTCATCTGAAAAACTTTTGCCTCTAAGTCAGAAAGTTATCGGTTCAAGCCCCATGACAGGACTTTGAGCTCATTGTCCAAGTCAGCACTCCAGTACAGTAATGGGAGAGTTCTGCATTGTCAGAGGTCCATCTTTTGGATAAGATGTTAATTTGTTTAGTTGGACATTAAAGATCCAATTGCACTAATCAAAAAGAGAATGCTGTTTGTTTCTCCTGGTGTCTTGACAACAATCCCCCAAATTAAATTGATTATTCATTTCATGGCTGTTTGTGGGACATTGGTTTGCACAAATTGGCTGCTGGTTTCACCTATACACTTTACAGTAAAATCCTGTGAATGATTTTGTCACGCTTTAATGAGAAAGTGAACTATATTAAATGTAAGTATTATTATTCAGTGCGTTACTAAACACTGTCCTATATATAAATTCCCAATTGTATTTGCAAACTGTTATACTCAGAAGGTAACTAACTGTTCAAAAAAAAGCTTTATTTTAAAAACGGGCTTAAAAGGAGCAGCATCTAAAGGCAATTAAGCAGTCACAGAAAGTAAAAAAAAAGTAAACAGTGTAATTCCACCCCTCCAGCACATTTCATGGATTGGGTGGTTTAAAAAATGGTTGTAAAAGAGATCCATCTAATTGCCAGCTGTTGAAACAGATGTGTTTAACTACTCTTATTAACCAATGGCTGGGCTGGGAGAACAACAGCTTCACTGAACCAACAGTCAGCTGCCTTGCAGTAATTACCTACATTATACAGCACAAGTGATGAGGGCAAAAGAGACAGGTCAACACTGTGCAACGACTGAAGCTACAGGGTGATAAAACTACGAGTATTGAATAATTTTATGAGGAAATTGAACAATCAACTATCATCTTACAACTTATTGCATTCTTTAGGCCATCTGCAATATGCCAATCATTTCTCTCATTAGTCAGTCCAGTGCCAAGATATAAAACATCTAACACTTCGAAAGTGTACCGACTCTTTTTATTATTTACCGAACATTTCACTGGAATTGAAATTACAGTACCAGAGTATTATGCATTTTTTACATTTTTTGTAAAAAGATCCTTTCCTGAAAAATAAACTGCTTGTGAACAGTAATTTGCAGAATGTATGTAAACGTTGAACTGGCACTACTTTTTGACCTCTGAAGTACTGTGACACGTCAGCTGACATACATCAACAGACAATGACAGCCTTTGAAACTTATGTGTGCTCAACGTAAAAACCAGCACAACTGCACTAATCTCTTGCTCCCCATCACTATAGCAACACCCACAAGTAGCAATGGTCAACCACATCACGCCACTGCTGCTCAAGTCTTCCGCTGCGTTAAATCTTCTTTCTATCAGCAGTATTTGCTTACTCTTTTCCCCTCAATATGTTTTACACACCTGCTTTAAACATTTGGTAAACACTATACATAACAGCAAGATATGGAGCTATAGAACTTCCTCACAATTCAAGCTCGAGTTGCACACCTGACATTACTCAGCCGTCCCTTTTTTTTAGTAAATTCACTCTTAGTGTAAATTCTGTAATTGTTACAATTGTTTCCCAAACTATCAGCAATAACAAAGAAATATCATTAATTTTAGAAATTAACCATAGAAAAAATAAATCAAAATCACTTTATTTTGGAAGCCTGGTTTGATTGCATCGAATAAAGTGAAAGATCAAACTGCAAAGGTCAAATAAGCTTCTGTGGCAAGAATATTCCAGGAACTTTCACCCATCTGGCTCAGTAGTAGCACTCTTGCCTCGGAGTTAGAAGGTTGTTGGGACTTAGAATCACATAGTCTAAGCTGACACTTCAATGCAGTGCTGGGGGTATTGCATTTTTGGAGGTGCAGTCCTTCGGATGAGACATTAAACCAAAACCACATGCAATCCATTTATAGGCTGGAGATTCTATTTCATGCAGTTGACAGTTATTAACAAACAGTCCTGGAATGGAGTGCAACTTGTTTCTTGGTGAAAAAAATCCCCTAATCTGTCACTTGAGTTTATTCATCCCTCACACCCCAGCTATTGTCTTCTACCATTCCCAGGCAGAAAAGAATGTATGCACAAAATAACTGCTTATAGAAACTGTTTTATTTTAGGGTGTGGTATCCACCTGAAGCATTTTTTTAACAAGTGTTCTGCAGTTTGTTTCAACTGATTTTAAAATATACTTCCATCACACCTTCTGAAAGTCAGCAAATGATTCACTACTTTGCTGAGAATTGTTTTAAAGTACATTATAGTTTAATTTCTTTCCTAATCTTTCCATATCTTCATTTTTATTTGAAGATATTTGCTACAGATTTTCAGCATACCAAAATGAGCATTTCAAGACTGCTGTGTAGGAGAACAATAGATGAGTATTTCTAACATAAATGTTTGTTTAAATTATGTTTGTTGAAAAATATCTCTTGAAGGCTTTGTTTAAAAAAGACACGCACAGATAGAATGAAATTCCATTAACTTGTATTATTTTCAAAATGAAACCAAGATTAGAGTCTATACTTTGTTAGTGTAGCTATTACTAACATGCAGTGGTGTAATTTACATTATAAGAATTGCTCCTCTAAGCATTTGATCTCTGCATTGTTTGATAGAAGTTCAAATGGGCAGTTTCAGTCCACATTCACATAATTAATCTCACAGAAGGCATGTTTTACGAATAATGGCCAGATCAACTTAACCCAGTTCATTCATGGCTTCTGGTTGTGTACAGTGAGCACTTCAAACCATCTCTCAGGATAAGGACAGCCTTACCAATGTGCATACTGTAGAATGTGTTTGGGAGAAGAAAAGCAGAGATATAGAAAGCAAAAGTATATTCTCTTCTTATTCTAATTTTACAAAGAGAGGTTGGAATGTAACCTAATATTGGCCTCTAACAACAAGACAACAACAACAAGATTCCATTTATAAAGCGCCTTTCACGTCAGGAGGACGTCCCAAGGCGCTAAGATATATTGTTTTAAAATAAAAAAAAGACTACAGTTGAAGTGTCATCATATCTTATTATATGTAAATATGAAATCCTGTTTTTCCACATTTCCAGTTCCTATTTGCTAAGTTACATTGTTTTTAATTTTTAAAAATCCAATAGGCGTTATGTGTAGCCATTTCTTTAACTGCATGTTTTAAGTTTTATTTGGGTCCATTAACTCAGTCCATGTTATAAGTAGGCACACTCTAAAACGACCACCGGTTAGCACTTCCAGGTTGTCGGTATTTGCTGACATCACTTTCTGCACGCTGCACATGCATTCTATACACTGGCAACCAGAAGGGTACCACACTTCTAGTATACCAATGAACCTCAGTGTAACCGCACTACGCCAAAGGGTATTTTAATAAGGTCGGACTGTACAAACAAACAGAAATAATAATATATAAGAAAAGTGAATTTAAATAAAACTGAATCAAAGTTTAGATATATAAAGCAGATTTAGAATGATTATTACAATATGAAAAAATATTGTAAGCTAGGTTTTAAAAAGCATTTCATATACTCATAGAACATTGAAGTTGCAAGTTAAGTCAACCCTCAATGCATTTATTATTTGTACATCAGGGTTTTCTTGATTCTTACTGCAATATTCAGACAGCTTGATTTGGTATTTTATGCGTAAACATAGAACAGGAAATATATCCTGGTTGATTTGAAATTGTCACATTAAGCTAGTGTAAACTGGTTTAACTACAGTGTATTAACATTTGCTCCTAAATGAAACGTTATTGCAGGAGATTACTTAAAACCAAACAAAAGGTATTCTGAGCACACCCTTAGCAAGGCTGGACAAGACTGAAAGCACATGTAAAGAGTTGATGAATC